CAGCAGCTGTAGTTCACCTAATAGGCTTTTTTAAAAAAAAGGCCACCAAGGCTATAGAGTCCCCTCCACTCCTCATCTCATTTCTGTCCTGTGGTAATTATTGGACCCACTGTGCCCCCTGCTGGTCCTGAACTCCACTGCAGGTAGATTTGTCTTGGCTTACACTGAAGTTTGACTGTCTCTTTGAGGAGGAACATATTCCTGAAACTTCAGAGTTCACAGAGCTCAGGTGCAAGAGAAATGGTCTTGTTTTTCTGGAGTTAGTGACTAGATGTGTTGGAGATTGGTTTTAATTGTGCTTGTATTATTATTAATGTCCTTTGAATACCAAAGTCTTCCCCGGATTCAGTTGGATCCAGCCCCAGCAGTACCCATTGGTATCGCAGTAACTACAGAAGACAGATTCATGTATAGCTTCATCAGGGTACACCTGGGACAGAGCACCTGAATCAGATGACCACAGTGTGTCCTGATCTGAGATGCAGCACATCACACATCCACATAAGAATTCCTGAGACACTGAGATACAGCAATCAACAGAAAGAAGCAAAACAAGTGTGGTACTCACAGATCAGTTAACAACTCCAAAAAATATGTTCACAAGTGAGAAGAAATAAAAGTCAAGCAAATTTGGGCTGTGACTCAGTGTGAGTCATTACTGCATATTTGGCTGTATTTAAAGAAATAAAGAAAGGAGAGATCTCTTTGATAAGGATCCTCATGGATGGAGGGTAAGTGAACTTAGACATCTTTATTTCACCATTCTTACCTTTCCAAGTACAGATCCTCTAAATCCTGGCACATGTTAGCAAAGTTTTTCAGGACCTGACTTTTTTCACAAATGAAAGATGGATTTGAGATTGGAATGAGAGAAGCCAATAATATTATGTAAGATTTTGTGTATGTTTGTCATTAAATGTCTGAAGTACAGGTACACAAATTAACACAAAAATACATGCTACAGAAGTCAGAATAGATGCACGTTTTGCTCTAATATACCTAATATTGCAAGAGAGAAGCTTTTGGGACCTGGCTGAAGCTTGGTCTCTTTTCTCTCATTTGTCAGGATGGACATGATGTACTGTGTACAGTCATTCCAGAGTGCAACACCCTCTTCATTATAGAGGAACACTTATCCCTACAGTTCAGGGAGCTGGATGAGCTTTGCTTGGATTTCAGATTCTGTTCTGACCTTGTTAACGGCTATCTTGTTACATTTCATAGTCCAGTGTTGTGGGCTACGGAAGGTCTATCATGAGTCTATGCTGAAAAGGTGCTTGAGACCACACTGCCCTGTTCAGTCACTAGCACAGAACACTGGAGACTGCTGTCCATCCCACAACAATAATGAGGAGGACTATGGACACCTCTGATAACAACTGAGTATTCCAGGTACACATTTCAGGGCCTAGAAGCAAAAATGTCCTTAACCTATACTGATTTGTAGTTCATAACCTCATTTCCTAGATAGCGGCAACAGAAATCTAATTTGGCTCTTGGTAGGTTCACATATACATTCTCTTTAACAAAGAAACTCTCCAGTGTAGTAACATAGAGAATCTCACTTGTCAGCTACTGCCAGGTCCTGCCCATCCTGTTGAACACACCTGAATAGGGGAGTGAGGATGAGAAAAACCAGAGACAGAAGAATAGACAGAGAAAGAAAAATAGAGTTGGGAGGGCTCTCAGCCAACACCATAGCAGCCCCAAGTTTATTTCTCATAGCCCTTTATAAACCAAAGCAAGGGGGAGCAAAAGGATCTCCCCCTCACAAGGATACCATGAGGAAAAAAGCATACACACCTCCTTAATTCTCAAAACATCTGGAAACCATGCCTTTGGCCATACATCCTGTTATCCAGTCTGGAAGAGCAAAACATCTAGTAGTCATGCCTTTGGCCAAACATCCTGTTATTCTACCTTGAAGAGCAGTAACAAGCTTCAATTCTCTGACCTTAAGTCAATAAGAAATCAAGCCACAAGCTGGAGTCACTATGGGGTCACATAAACTACACCATGGTCTGTGAACATAATGATGCTGGCAATGAAGTCCACAGAGGCTGTTGGAATCCCCACAGTGCACAACTTTCCTATCAGGCTTCAGATGTCATTTCTTTCTTAGGGATTGGTTGAGCTACAGTACCCCCTGCTGGTCCTGAGAAATGGCTTCAATTAGTTTATCAATGGTCTAACAAACATTCCTCTCACTATGGTGCCTATTTCTTTCCTTCACTGTCTACCTGGTGATCTTGAGTAGATATTTCAAGCATGAGTGATGAGCTGTGCTACAGTTCTTTGCAATGTCTCCATAAACCTCAGGATTTCCCTAGAGGTGTTGCATCCAGCTATAGCAGTGACAACTGATGATTATATGAGGTAAAAGACAGCACAAATGATGGTCAGGGTCTACAAGTACTCTACAAGGTAATTTCCCAACTCATATAGCTATAATCACAACAGAATACTCACAGCATTGGCACGAGGGGGAATCACAATGTTAAACATACAGATCAGTTCACACATCAATAAAATATTTTCATATTTGGGAAGGAAAAACTTTAAGAAAATTTGCACTGATACCAATGGTTTTCTAATTCAGCATTTGTTTTGTTAATAATGGTATGTTTGTATGCAAACTTAAAAGGGGTGGGTTGGTCACATTGCCTGGAAGTTTCTGGTGGAGATGCTGTCTGTGTCCTCAGGCAACTCTTGTTTCTCTGGATTTAGCATCCCCAAACTCAGACTGCTCTTATTAGGGGAGGTCATGGCTGCTAAATATTTTCAGAAATTTGAATGCATTGGCCTTTAGCTTAGTGAATGACCATTGTGGAGAAAAGTAACACCAAGGAGTTAGTGGAGCCAATACTACTCTACATAGTGTAGAAAAAAACTCAAGTGTTTGTCCATGTGCATGAACACATGTGACTTGAAGGCACGCATGTTAATACTAAATATATGCTACATATCAGGTTGTAGATGCATTTGATTGTATGTAATCAGCATGATCATGAGTCATATGCATTTCATTTCATTGAATTTGGTCATGAGTTGAAAGTTTCAAGTATGTCATGGTACTTCATTACATGCCTCTTCAAGGCAAGTGTTGCAACTGACATAGGGCATGATTTCCTGGGGTTGTATGTGATTAAATGAGAGGAATAAACTCTGGGTAGACTCAGGAAACACCCTTCCTGGGCCCTGTCTACACTTGTTCCCCAGATACTGCAAAACTGATTTATTTAGTTATATTGAGTTTTGTTCTCTCAAAGCAATAAGTATTTAGCAATGCTATTAATTATATGAATTTGATGTCATTTGTAAATCATAATAAAGAGTAGCTGATTGTGAACCCCTATGTTTTCCTTGATGGAACATGGCCTCCATCTGATTAAGGGTATTCCCATGTAGTAGTTACTAGTACAGTGTTTCAGAACTACCTTGTGGAAAAGAAAAGCCCCTATCAATTCTGTGTCATTGTGATACATCAGGGAGGCCAGAAGTTGGAGTTCCATGGAGGATGGAAGCTTTGGCTCTCTTGGAAAAATCCAACCTCTTCCTATAGAAACCACACTGTCAAACTTGAATTGGTCCAGACAGTCCATATCCAACAACAACCCAGAAATAATACCACTCTTATTCTTTATGTTAATAGTTTCCCAAATTCACAGAGAGGGGAATCCCCCCTTCTTTTTCTATCCTGACTCTGTGGATAATATTTGAAGTCCCTCATGCTGTTGGCATTTGTACAGTGCACAGAGGACATCTGGAGGACATTGGACATCAGAGGATAAGAAATTTCTCTCCACAATACCTGGTGAGGAGACCCTTCCTGAATGTCATGTGTCCTTATATTAAAATCCCTGAGGGTAAGGAAGGGTAATGATGAATCATAAGAGTAAAATCCAGAAGGAAAACAAATGTACCAGCAGTAAAATAAACACCCCCAATCAGCTCTCAGCCTGAGGTTCTCCCATGTGAGAAGAGCCAGGACAAATTGGAAACAAATTGAGTTTTGTCACTGTGTCTTATTTATACAACTTTCAGACTTTGATCTGATTCAAAGGTGTGTTTAAACCACAGAATCCCACTGTGTGATGGAAATTGTTAATATGTAACCATTCAGTCAATGGCAGAGTCATTTCTGCTCCTGAAATTGTCATGATGCCTATGTGGAGCCTGAACATGTGTTTTCCTAATTAAACACCAAACCATATGAAACAAAAACAAACACACACACACACACCAGTATACGTAGACAGAAAAGAATGGACTCAGACTTGTCAAAGTTATGACAGAGCAAAAAAGCAAGAGAGGGTCTAAGTGGCTTTAAATGTCTTAGAACAGAGAATATGTATGTTTGTGTGTGTCCTGTGCCATACAGTGATATCTCATCACTGTGTCTTACTCTAATACACAGCTGTCTCCTGTGCAGTCAAAGATATAAACCTCAGGGATAACTGGTCCTTGGCTGTATATCTGGAATGGAGATTAGGCTGAATAAGGATGGCTTTTGTTTTCCGACTCCACAATAACTTCATTTCCCAACAGCGTATCCCATTTTCCAAAACTTGGAAAATCCAGGGCTAGTAAGTATTATCTTGTAATAGAATAGTCAGAGATAGCTCAGATGTAGACAGATCCTGTGATGGATTTACAAGGCCATGTCAACATACCTGTAGCCTTTGAAATCATCACACTTGAAACTTTTCAAGAACCAATGGGGGGCAGATAGGAACCCTGACCTTTTGGAGATTCTAGAGCTTAGGTTCCCCTGCATCTTCCATGTATGGTGATATTTTATTTGTGCTGGAATGTGATTTTATTTGTATGTTAATAAGTAAAGTTGCATGGGGTTAAGAGCTAATAGCAGGCCATAGCAGATGTGGGGGAGAGGGACACAAGCCTTTAATCTAATCACATGGCAGGCAGAGTCAGTGTGTTCAAGGACATAGCCAGCTTGGAGACACAGGTCTTTAATCTCAATACCAACCATAGAGACCTGGAGGTCTGTATAGACAGGCAGTGATGAGGAGGTCACATGGTTAGGTTTACAACCAATAAGAAGGCAGAACAGAAAGTCAATAAAAAGGCAGACACACAGGAAGTAGGTCACTTTTTAAGGGCAAAGACAGCAGTGGCAGCAAGGAAAAGAACATGGTCTTGGTCTCAGCTCTTCGCTACTGCTCTGAACTCTAGGGCTTTTAAGTCTGCATTTGGCTGTATTTTCATATTTAATAAAAACATTTAGAATTACATCTACATCGATGAGGTCTGCTAGAAATTTTGCTCTCAACATACCTTATATCACATAGAGTATAAGTCTGTTATGGAATATCATTTGCCCTATGATACATAAAATACCTTCTTTAATAAGAGATGATGCTGTATCTGTGTAGGTCCATGATCTGTAAAGACTTTAGAGTGTAGGTCAGAGTACTGAGTCTGGGAAGGCCATAAATATGAGATTAGAGAATACTGCATAATACATAATTTCACAAGTATTGTCAATTAACATATATAAACATTGTGTCAATAAATGAATTCTGTGAAAAATGTTATAATAGTACTTTTAACCAGCTTACAGAAATTATACTGTTGTGGCAATAAATTATGATTAAAAAAAAAAGCTCTTATATTCTAAGAGATTGATATATTTGCTAGATCACACAGCCAGAGTGAACAATAAAATTTGAAGTCCTTCAGACTGTGATCAAATGTGTACTCGGGTTGTTTAACCTGCCTTTAAGAGAATATTGTAATGCTCAACCTTACTTGCCTAGGTCTTACTATGTAATCAGTTTTACATAAAATGATAAGATATAGCTCTATCCTGTATTTGTGTGCTCTTCCATGTTCATAACTGAAGACTAATGCATGAGTGTTTGTATGTGTTTTATGATAACCTTTTGCTGAAAACAGAAAATGTACGTTTAAATAAATTATATAAAATGTGTATCCAGGATTTCATAAAACAATATGCAAATGTTATTTGACAGAAAAGGAAGTGTGTACTACCTATTTGAGTCAGCTGAAAAACATTATTAATCTATAGTAAAATTCTCTTAAATGTTTCTCTCAAATATCCCTTATTCTTTTCCCTTGAGATGCTTTCGATGGTGTTCAACAAATACAGAGCAAAGATCATTGTTAAGGACACAGAGAGAGAGGGATACAGAGGGAAGGAGAGGGAGAGAAAGAGAGAGAGACAGACACAGACTCACAGAGAGACAGAGATCCAAGGAGACGGGGGGTGGTGCAGAAGAAAAGGTGGAGATAGATACAGTGATTCCGTTCCTACAACAGAAGATAACACAGGAAGAGTCATGTAGGGGATTTAAATCTGGACTTACTCTTAGTTAAATGTCATCAATTGGAATTGTTTGATTTCTTTCCCTAATGTGAGGTAGAAACAGTATTGATGAATCTGAGTTTATTATTAATGTGTTCCAACCAACTACACTTTACATTAATGAATTGGAGTCGAAGCATAATTAAGAGAAACTCATCAACTATTGAATGTTACTAAGAAACATTCATGGTGTCACAGCTATGAGACTCATTCAAAATATTGAGGAAAAATAATGATAAGTTGTGCTGTTCTATTGGACCAGTTATACTAAAACATTTAATCCTGCGGAACCAGCTTAGGCTAGCACTACCGTCTCACCGAAGGAAAAGGAAGTCGCAGAATAAACTGTCTTCCTACTAAATTATTTGCATCTTCTCTTCATACTTCTCTTCTGTATGCTAATATATTAATTGATCCATACCCACAGAAGGCCTTCAAGAAGTTTCTCAGGCTGGACCATTACAGAGAATGTTTCTAGGACTTAGAGAAGTATGACAAGTCCTATCCATGACCCCCCACCATCATTCTCCACATAGAAACATCTCAAAATTAATGCTGTAGAAAATTCCCTACAAGAATAATAAATGTTATGGCAAATATGTATTAAATAATATCCTTAGCCTGACAAGCTCTTATGCAAATAATTACCACCAACCCTTAGTTTAGTCTGTGGCTTGAGTAATGGATTAACAAATGCCTGTCCACTGCTACTCATAACCAAATGCAGGGACCTGTATAAACATTACTTGTCATCAAATTATCAGACAAGGAAACTTCCCAACAGTAGCACAACAGCTTGCCAGCCCTCGCGTGGTTAACAACCAAAGCAGCCAAGCTGCTATCAGGGCTTGGAATAAATTTTCTGATATTAACACTCCCACAGGCATCTTTCCCACTATGGACAGAAATCTACAGAGCCCTTTGTAACTTATTCCTTCATCTGCAACAAGCTATAGAGCAGCAGTGATATAATAAAGAAGCAGTGTCCACCTTATCTCTTTCATCTACTCATTAAAATGAAATTTTTAACTGTAAAAAGCTTCATTCTGAAGTTGATATTACTTCTCACATTATTGTTGATTTGATAAAAAGCATCACAAATTGATGGCACAGAGAAATATAGGTTCACATTCTGGCTTGTCCTTGTGGTCTCCTACATATTTCAAAGGTTAAGAGAACAGGCCATTTTTAAAATTAATATAAACTAAAACTTACTAAACACCATCAACATAGTAAACCTCCCTCTAAAACACCTGGAAAAGGTAATGAATTTCCACTGGTACAGTCTATGTGGATGGTGGTGACAAAGAGAATCCAATTTCAGGAAACAGGGGAATGAGCACCCAGGGCTGCTGATGACAGGACCAGGTCTCTACATTCCCAGCTTGGAATCCACTCCTCCCTCCCCAGTGCTATCTGAGCAGGAGCCCAGCTGGTTGTCAAAGTATCAGACTCCACACCCTGGGGACCCCACAACATGACACTCAGCTCCATCCCTAATCCTAAAGCAATAAGAGATTTGATTACTACTGCCAAAGGCAATTCATGAACAGATGTGTCAATAACTAAAGACATTAAATTAGAAGTCATAGGAGAGGTTAAATCACCTACCCCAAAATCTATGGGGACCCATTTCAACAAAATGCCTGTGCTTCTTTTAGGCAAACAAAATTGGACTATGAAAGGGGCTTTGTTTGTGCACATGCTGTTGATATGTCTTTTACCTACTTAATTTATGCTATAGTTTATTCTCAGCTACTACAGCAACAGTGCCAGTCCCTCAGATTTAAGGGATATTTATATCATAATGTATTGCTACAGTTTGCACTATTTTAGTTTGTTTAAAAGGAATCATGTCACAGGAGGAGGTCACTGATAAACAGCTGGTCAAGGTAAGGTGCTCTCTAAGACACCTGAATCATCATCACTTTATCCTCTGACCTTATTTGAAAAGCTGACAAGGACCCTAAAAGATTGTGAAATGACAAAGGACACTCAGAATGATTATTTCTGAGTAAGACTCCAGGCTAATCTTCTCTGTCACCTCAGTCCCGGGCCAGCTTTCTGCTCCACCAGGGTTTTGACACACTCAGGATGTGGTTGCAACACTGTGTCTCTTGCACAGAAATAGACCACAGAGTCCTCAGATGTCAGACTGCTGAGCTCTATGTAGGCTGTGCTGGAGGATGTGTCTGTAGTCAGTGTGGCCTTGCCCTGGAGCTTCTGATTATGCCTAGTACTACCACTTCCAGGATCAATGACTCCAACCCAATCCAGGCCCTGTCCAGGCCTCTGCTTCACCCAGTGCATAAAGTAGCTAGTGAAGGTGTAGCCCGAAGCCTTGCAGGAAAACTTCACTGAGGCCCCAGGTTTCACCAGCTCAGGACCAGACTGCTGCAGCTGGACCTGGGAGTGGACACCTGTGGAGAGAAAGGAAGAGTGGATGTCATTGTCACCTCAGTCCCTGTTCCCTCTGCAGGTTTGGAACTGGAAAGCCCCTTACCTGTAGTTACTGACAGGAGGAAGAGGATGATCCAGCTCCATCCCATGGTGAGGACCTGTGTGCTCAGTGACTGTGGAGAGGACACTGATCATATGTTGTTGAGGGGATTGTACATCCTTGTATTTACAACCATAGACTCAAATAATTTGCATATTCATGAAGTGGGTACTTCTTAGATCAGGACCTAGTCCAGCTGGAGAAGAAGGTAGAGGATACCTCAGTTAGGCAACAGGATGCTGAGGGCACACAAAAAAATTATATTTCAGAAATATTTACACAACAAGTTTATTGCAGCAGCATCCTCTTAACTGAATTATGGAAATAAACTATGTATCTGTCAACAGAGATTTTCATTAAGAAGACATGTTTATATAGACAACACATCGGTTTTTCATCTCCAAGGAATATGGAAATTACACCAGTTATAGAAAATGAATGCAGCTAGAGATTATGTATTAATTAAGAGCATCTCAGAAACACAAACATTAAATGAGACTCTCATTAGAAGTTCTTAGATATTTCATACTTACATACAACTATGAACACAAATACATGATGAAGTATATGTGAAATTGTCTAGTAGAATAAAAGTAAAGTAGGAGGGGAAGGAAAATGAGGGATAGAGATTATGGAGAAATATATGCAGAGTACTAAATACATGTATATGAAAATTCTAAACACATGTAAAATTGTTATTTTTTACATTCCATAATTTATAGTCTTTGAAATTTTAATCCATGATAAAATATAATGTGATCATATGTACACCCACCATGCACCACTGGTTCCTCTTGGGACCATCGAATAGGTCTCTCTCCCAACTTCCTGACCTCTTTTGTTTCACCAACTAGTGACACGGGGAGTCCATCCAGTTCCGTTTATATACACATAGGTGCAGTCATTCACTAGTACATAGGAAACTTTCCAAAGAAATTTGATTAAGTTTTCCTCATTCATCATCAAATTCCAATAGATCTTCAGCTTGGTGTGGGTCCTCAGGAGTTTCTCTCCATCCACGTTATAGTTTTAAAAATTGTTATACTATCTTTAGTGGTGAGAATGGGGCAGGAGGGGACATAGGAAAGATTTGGGAGTCACTGCCACACCAACCTCATCTCTACTGGGGATTCTTGGCTCCATTGTGCCACCTGCTGGTTCTTAGCTTCCCTGCAGGTTCGTTTATCATGGCTTATACTGAAGTTGCATTGTCTTATTTTTTTTAATTTTTTAAATTTATTTTATGTACCAACCATAGATCCCTCCCTTATCCCTCCTCCTGCTCCCCCAACCTTTCCCCCAGACCCAACCCTCATCCACTCCTCCACCAGGGTAAGTTCTTCCATGGGGGACACCAAAAAGACTGGTACATTCAGTTGAGGCAGGACAAAGCTCCCCTCTGCTTTATCAGGGTTGAGCAAGAGGTCAGACCATAGGGAATGGGATCCAGAAAGACAGCTCATGCACCAGGGATAGGTCCTGAGCACACTGCCAGGGGCCCCTCAAACAGACCCAGCTACACAACTGTCTCCCATGGCAGAGGGCCTAGTCTGGACCCATGCAGGTTACACAGCTATGGGCATAAAGTTCATGAGTTCCTTTGACTTGGTTCAGTTGTCTCTGTAGATCTCCCCATCATGAACTTGACCCTCCCCCCCCTGATCATATAATACCTCTTCCTTCTCATTGACTGGACTCCTAGAGCTTGGCTGTGGATCTCTGCATCTGCTTCCATAAGTTGCTGGATGAAGACTCTATGATGAATATTAGGATATTCACCAGTCTGATGAGCAGGTCAGGCCAGTTCATGCTCCCTCAACGTTATTACTACTAGTCTAATCTGGTGTGTGTCATTATTATGGCTCCCTGGGAATTTCCCTAGCACCAGGTTTCTCCCTTATGCCATAATGTCTCCCTCTATCAAGATATCTCTTTCCTTGCTCTCCCACTCCACACCTCCCAGAACTTGACCATCTCACTCCCTCATGTTCTTATCTTCCAACCCCTACATTCTATTGCCCCCCACCCATCCCCAATTTACTACCAGAATCTCCTCTGTATTCCTTTCCCAATGTGAGCCATGAATTCCTCTTAGGGTCCTCCTCTTTTCCTAGCTTCTCTAGAGCTGTAGGTTTTAATCTGATTATCCAAAGAAAGAAGTTAGAGAAACATCGCCCTTTACAATAACCACAAATAATATAAAATACCTTGGGGTACCTCTAACCAAACAAGTGAAGAACCTGTATGATAAGAACTTTACATTTTAAAGAAAGCAATTGAAGAAGATATTAGATAATGGAAAGATCTCCCATGCTCTGGATAGGTAAAATCAACATAATAAAAATGGCATCTTACCAAAAGCAATCTACAGATTCAATGCAATCCCCATCAAAATCGCAATACAATTCTTAAGAGATCTTGAAAGAACTATACTCAACTTCATACAGGAAAACAAAAAAGGTAGGATATCTAAAACAACCCTGTACAATAAAGCAACTTCTGTAGGTATCACCATCCCTGACTTTAAGCTCTAGTACAGAGCTACAGTAATAAAAACAGATTGGTATTACCATAAAAACTGACAAATGGAACAATTGGATTGAATTGAAGATACTGACATTAACCCACACACCTATGAACACCTGATTTTTGACAAAGAAGCTAAAACTGTACAATGGAAAAAAGAAAACATCTTCAAAAAATGGTGGTGGCATATTTGGATGTCAACATATAGAAGATTGCAAATAGATTCTTATCTATCACCACGAACAAAACTCAAGACCAAGTGGATCAAAGACATCAATATAAAACCAGTCACACTGAACCTGATAGAAGAGAAAGGAGGAAGTAGTCATGAACAGGGGGGACTATTTCCTAAACATAACACCAGTAGCACAGACACTGAGAGCAACAATTAATAAATAGGACTTCTAGAAACTGAGAAGCTTCTGTGAGGCAAAGGACACAGTAAATAAGACAAAACAATAGTGTAGAGAATAGGAAAATATCTTCACCAACCCCACATCTGACAGAGGGCTGATCTCCAAAATATATAAAGAACTCTGCTGTGGGATGGTCTGTATGTCAAATTGCTCTGATTGGTCAATAAATAAAACACTGATTGGCCAGTGGCTAGGCAGGAAGTAGGTGGGACAAGGAGAGAGGAGAATTCTGGGAAACGGAAGTCTGAGGTGGAGAGACACTACCAGCTGCCGCCATGACCAGCAAC